ATGTATTTGCATAGTATTGGATTTTGCTTTATTATATTGTAATGTGTGATATTGATAGAGGACATTTATAAGGTAGTGATAATCTTAGTAAGACATACTAGTTGGATTGAGTGTTTGAGTTGTTTATTGTATGAGTAGTACTTAAATTTATAACACTTTATTTTTGTTTTAATTGCTTGAAGACTGATGGTTTCTGTTACCGGGTAAATACACTGGGACCTCAGATGTTTTTTCTTTTTCTGTGCTTAGGGATATTGGTGGTAGGCAGGAAAGGTCCATTGGAAGGTCCGATGGGTCGACCAGCCTGAAGGTGGACATTGTTTTGATTTTATTTTCTATTTTTTATTTTTTATTTTCTTTTAGGTTTCATATGTATTTGCTTAAGTCATATCCTTATACGACTTGTCAAAATTCCTCCTTTTTAAATTGGGCTGGAGTACCCTATGTGGTCGCCTACGGCAGAGGGACTGTGAGAGAATTTTTCCTGTCTAGATTGTTTGATGGACATTTCAGGAAAGATAGCTGCCTGACAGGTTTTTCGCTCTCACACTCCATAAAGTTGTTGTATTGCTAAGGTTACGCTGTAGGAAGCATGTGTAGGAGGAACTGTTATTTTGTTGCAACTGTAAACATGCATGTGTCATATGAAGTATGTTTAAAAGAGTAGCTGTATAGAAGAGGGGAAATATGTAGTATCCAAGCTCCAGGTGTAATCTGACGTTGCAGGATTGGAATGTTCAAGTGAGGGGGCCCCTCGTCCAAAGGTCTCTTTCCACTTTAGTTCCAGATGAATGAGACTATTCTAAGAAGGACTATATGTTCCATCTCCTTTTTCCATAACAACCACCCTATATAAGCAGTAGGTCATACTGCTCTGGAGGGGACACTTCAGAATTGGCATGGATCCCCTCTCAGGTACTTTATAGTGCTTGATATGATACTGTTTTACTTTGCAATAAACATCTTATACAAGCAAGGCGGTGTCAGCAGAGACTTCTTCAACATCTTCACAGCATCGCTATTTAATAAACAACACAGTTACAGCTAAACTCTGCTCGCTTGATGTTTGTATGTCCAGTATGCTCCAAACAGAACTAATACACTGTTCTGTTTCTCCGGCAAGCTGAACAGCTGCCCCTCCTGTCCAGGTTGACACAACTGGAAGACTAAACCTGATTAGGTGTTCCTGCTCGCTTGACCTCCAGACTAGCTTGACTACCACCGAGCACCACCTGCATGTGCCATTCATCCTCCTTTTGTGTCAGAAAGTATCACCTACACATGCTGCTCATCCTTCTATTGTGATAGAAAGCCTCAACTGCATGTGCCATGTTGCATGTTCTGTTGTAATTACAAGCCTAAACTGGAGACTGAACAGTGCATCATCACTTCCCCTTAAACTCCTACTATGATCTATGTTTGGGCTCTTTATTGCAGATCTTTGCAGACTCCTAATCGGATATAGACATTATACACATGCCTTGCACTGTGAGTGCTCAGCCATCACTGATTTAACTCTCATTCTTTTGATTCTAACAGTTATTAATTAATCTATTTCTGTTAAATTATTAGGTGTTTAATATATATTTCATCTACACTGGTTGAACAATCGCAATGGGTATTCAGCCATGTTAGAAGCCACAGTAGAAAACTTGATATACACACACTTATAAATGTACATATCAACTGAGTTCTGTATTAGTGCACCAAGATACTACTCATAAGTGTGGCCAGTCATAAGTGTGTGTATGAGGTTAACGGCCTGAAATGGTATTAAACATACCCTATATTTAAAGCAAGGACCTGACAACTGTATGCTTATGATTATGTAATCAAAAACTAAAACTTCAGCAAAAAGACTAGAATATACAATGATTAGCCACTGAAAGTTCTATACACCATCACTCAATACTAGCCCGAGTTAAAACAAACATTAATGCCATGACCAGGGCTAGCTTTGGAGCAATGTACCTCAGTAGCTGTTAAAAGCTGTCACCATCCACTGTCCATCTCTATAATTTCGTACAACCAAGTGTGGTTTCCTCACACCACCGTGCATCACAATTTCTCTCAAGGGATGAAAGGTTTTGCTGACTTATTGCTTGTCAATGTTAGCTTTTGATATTGTACATCATTGTAGTTGTGCGATCATCTATTTTTAGTTGCACGCTGTGTTTTTTAAGTAGGCCTATCTAGCAAAACCTAATGCCTATTGCATCTTCATGCATACACTTCAAAAACATTCCTCAACTTGGAAGATAAACTCACTTATTCAAATAAGAGCTATTCTTTTTTGGAAATTTGAAAAAAAAAAATATATAAACTTATGTAACCACCATCAATCGTTCACTTGTTGGTTAAGACTAAAACAGTTAATCATTCACATCCCTATCACATTTGTCTTTTTTGCTCAAATGTGACCACAAGAAAGTTTTCCAAGTAAACAAAAGTAAACAAATAAGCTTAATCAAAGTCAAAGTTAAATTTATTTATATAGTGCTTTTTACAAGAGACATTGTCACAAAGCAGCTTTACAGAAAATCTGGGTCCAAGCCCCGGTGAGCAAGCCAAGGGTAACAGTGGCAAGGAAAAACTCCTTAAAAGCAAGAGGAAGAAACTTTGAGAGGAACCAAGTTTCAAAAAAGGGAACTCATCCACCTCTGGACAACACCGGATAGCAAAACAAAAACACAAGAGCAAAATTACCAGAGGATAAGATTTTACAATGAATATATTAATTAATTGTATTAATTAAAACATGGAATATAGAGAAAAGGAAAAATGAACCAGCTTGTCACTGGACAGAACTAACCAGTGATGACTGATGACTACTGTTAGAGGCCTATCTGAGTAACAACAAGAAACAGATCTATGAAAATCAGTCACTGTTACCAGTGAACACCAGTGACTATTGTTAGGAGCATATTACAGTGAAAAAAACATGAATGTCGGTGACTACTGTTAGAAGCCTACAATGATCTGTTAGTATGAAAATGAGAAAAACTCAGAGTACTGTGATGGAGGGAAAGCAATATCTATGATTAAATAGTTTGACTCCATGCAGGCAGCAGTATCATCAGAAGGCTCACTGGCATGCAGATGAGGCTTTCTGCACAGCACCGGACAGCAGGAAGCTCGATGTTGGTCAAATTGGTCCAGAACGCAGGCAAACAGGGATACCCAATCAAGGCAGATGATGCAACAGCATCAGACCGTGCAGGATGGGCAGTTGTTCAGCTCAGCAAAGAAACACACAGACAGTTAGTTCTGTTAGGAGTGACTGAGAACAGTACATAGTGTTACAGAGTGCAGCAGTGACTACAGGAGGCCTACTATTACAGCCTAACTAAAAGGAAAAGCCAGAAGGTAGCAAAGACACAAGGGCCGAGATGTCAGTGCCACTCTGCTCCTCCGTCAACAAACACGAGTGAATGCATAAGAGCAGCAGGGTGACAGCATTGGCATTCTCAGTTCACCATAATACTCTATGTCAGTGAACCCCCAGATCTGCACCTTTTACCTAATTCTAGGTACTAATAGTAAGCCAGCACCTTGTGATCTAAGTAGGCTTGAAAGTTCATAAGAGATTAGCGCACTCAAGTACTGAGGGGCGAGGATGTTTAGAGCTAAAATGTGTTAAGGCTTTTGCTGGAACATCCAGAAAGCATCATTTACAATTTTCACTAGTGCAGTTTCTGTACTATGATGAGCCCTACATCCAGACTGAAATTTTTCATGTATATGATTCCTATGCGAGTGGGAAATTAGTTGTTGCGCCACAGCTTTGTCTAAAATCTTAGATGTAAAGGGAAGATTTGAGATAGGTCTATAATTTGATAACTCACAGGATGAAGATTAAGTTTCTTTATCAGAGGTTTAATTACTGCTGCATTGCTGCTGTAAGCTGATGGTATCAGGAGTTCAGTAGCCGTCTGGTTCTTAGTTAATTTAGAAATTGTGCTAAATAATAATCTAGGATTATTCTTATTATTTTCAATCAGAGACGAGAGATAAGTTGAGTGTGCTGCAGTAAGTGCCCTTCTATAGTATATAAGACTATCCTTCAGGGCAGACTGGAATACTTCTACTTTAGTTGGGTGCCATTTACGCTCTGTCTGACTGTCTGTTTTAAAGCTTGACTATCATCATTGTACCATTGAACTGTGCAGAAAGCTTTTTGCGCTTTATTCTTTTACTTTTTAGTGGAGCCACGGTATTTGTTCATAATATTTAATTTGCTAGGTTAAGATGTACAGCTGATAGAAGCTGATAAATCTGGAAGTTTTTGGGTAAAGCTACTAGCTGTGGAGGATGTTACAGTATGCTTAACACGAATATGTGGCAATGAACATATGATTTATTACTTTATTCAAGAGCATTATTAAACCTTCATAGGAAGTTAGTGAAATTCCCGTAAGAACTCAGAATAGGGCCCTGGTGTAGTGAACTGTAATTGGTAAAAATGAATTCTTATTTGCTCCTCAATCATTATATCAATCATTAGAAAAAAAGATTTTCATAAGAAGAGAATGTGTAGCCTGCTTTCTGGTTAATGCCTAAAGCATTTGCATAAATGGTTGCTATACCTCCACCCTGGCTGTTTAACTGAGGGCTATGTACACAGTTGTAGTCTTTAAATGGGAGAGGAGTGGTGCTTGTGTGCGGAAGCTTTAGCATTAGCTTTAGCTTTGCGACTATGCCACCAAGATGCCACCCATTTGCCCCGCTGTGAGGACTCTGCTGCCGAATGTGAAGCCATGATAACTCTCCCTGAGGCACACGAAGCTTCTAACAGCAAGTCTGAGCCTTTTAGCCTACTCTTTTCTAAATTCCGGATGCACACCTCTAACTGTGTAATCTTCTCTGTCAAGCAAGAGATCAACTTTTACTTCTCACAGACGAAGCTAGTAACGCTGCTGTTATTAGTGACAAAGAAAGAGGCATAGCTGAACATTTAGCACGCAAAGCAACAGCTCATGGTCTGCTATACTGGTACTTACGTTGCTTCATTGGCTGATTTGTGTAATTTCCAAATGGAGCAGATAAGAGAAAAAAATACATCCAAAAGTAAGTTTTTTGTGAGTAAAATGCGACAACAAATTCAAAAGGTAAAAAAAACAGAACAGAAGAACAGAAAGAACAGAAACTGTGTCACATTTGGTAGTTGGTGCAGACAGAAGAACCTTTCCTATGTACTCAGAGCAGAGGGTCTCATGTAATTCATAATGTATAATGTAGATCTTAAACATTGCACTGTAAAAGGTATTTATAATGTAATCATAATCTATTTATTACTTTTCACAGTTTAATAACATTATTTTCATCATGTGAACACAAGCCACACATGAACATGAATATAAAAATCATGTGATTTCTGTAGGGTGAATGCAGTTTTAAATGTTCATCACTGACATCCCATTAGAGCAACATGTTACATCTTGTTCATACAGTTTGTGGAATGGAATGGGCGATGGGGAACTGTATCTTTCTACTTTGCTATTATTTGTTTTCTGCTCACTGAATTACCAAAAAGTCTGCCATCCAGTGTAGTTTGCCAAATTACTGGTACTGCTGGCATCCGCTGTATGTTTTGCTTGATAATGCTTGCTTGTAAACTTGTTGTACTAAGTAATTCACCACTGCAGTAGCTGGAAACAACTTTTATGAAAAGAACCATTATTAGAGATTGCCATTTAAAAACTGTATTTGAAAGGGAGGGCTACAGTCGCGGACTCGGAGCGCACAAGCAGCTTTCCTTCAGCCTGCACTACTAGAGATACTACTATGCATGAAAGGTCAAACAAGAAAAATGCATTAATGATGTTAAAAAATGGATTTAATATGTTAAATGTTAAATTGGACAGCACTTGTAAGAATATGAAAATAAATCAATATTGCCAAACTATTAATCACACAAGCATCAATACAAAAGCACAAATTACTGATTATCATAGCACTGACACACTTGTAGTCACTATTAAAAATGACATTTTTCTGGTCATGTTTGTTGGAAACCAAACTGATGTTGGAGAAAGTTAACTCCTTGAACCTGAAGCCCTTACTAGCCAGCGTTATGTCATCGAGCTGTGACACAGCATCAGTGAGTAATTTAATTAAGCAATAGAACACGAGAGGGAGTGTGTTATCGCAAAATAACATCACGGCTGTGATTTGGTCGCGGCACAAGCCGAACGTGGCATTTAATATGCCTCATGAACATGACATTTAATATGTTCTAATGTTAGCAATTCCTTCCGCCAAATTATAGTTCTTTAACAAGCAGCTTGTTGCTACGTCAGAGTAACGAACTCCACTCGCCTCGCCTTTTGAAGTACGGACTGAGCCATAAAACTGCTGCAGTATCAAGTGTAGCTCAGTGTTGTCATTTTTTGCTAGATCGATATTAATGTTGTTTTGTTCCAGCCAATTTGTAAAGCATTTTACAGTCCAATTTGTTTGGCGAATGGTATTCAGTTTATTTCTGGCTGATTCCAGGTTGTTTAAGTGTTCTTCTGTCACAGCTGCCGACTGAAAAGCTTGCTCAGTGGTAATGACAGTTTTGGAATTTAGTGTAGTCTCATCTTCAGAGTCTGACCAAATTGGCTGTAGGTCAAATGTAATCTTAAAAGTACCTATTTTCTGTTTGTTCGCAAAAGTAAGATGTAAAAATGTTGAAATGGCTTGAGCATTTCCTACAGCTGTCAAAGTCGTTGCTTAGCAACGGCATCTCAGCGGAGTGATATAATGTTTGCGAAAAAAAAACAAGCTGCTATGGCGAAATAACAGTACAGTTAGAACGCTTCTCAACCAATCAGCTTGCATGCCCAGAACTGTTGTATAGCTTGGAATATCACCCAAATTCCCTATATTATTAATCTTCCTTTAGCCTTCATATTCCAACAAACAGCTAAAACAGTGGCATATTCACATATCTTAGCACTTACCAGACCTCACTAACCAAAGTGATTTCATCCACCTGTGACCAACCACCAGCCAACAATCCAACTCCAAATTCACCTGAAATCCACTTGCAGCCATTATATTTCTGCTTTTAGCCTTCATATTATAACAAAAGGTTAAAAATAGCGACATGATTCACACATCAGAACACTCAGCAGACCCTGTCCTCACTATCCAGAGTGAGAAAACCCAGCTCTAACCAAACACCAGCCAGAAATCCAACACCAAACGCAGCCAAATTCATTGTAAAACCTGCTATTAGCTTTCTGCTTTAGCCTTCATAAGGCAACAAAAAGGGTTAAAACAGTGAAGCTATTCACCCATCATAGCGATCAGTAGGACTTACCCTGTGTGTCTGTTCAGAGTAATTTTATGGAGCTGCAGTAAAGAATCGTTGAGTAATTCAGTTCAGAAAACCACAATTCAAATTCTGCATTTACGTCCATTCAAATGCCCCATTTAAATGCCTCACTGCACATGCTGGATCTGGAACTTCTCCTCGTTTCAAACAGTCCTCTGATTGACTCCGACTCTTAGTTTAAGTGTTGATAATCAGAAATTTACAGCTAAATACAGATAACAACCACAAAAATAGTCAGAGTGAGGCACATATAAGATCATGTGTTCTCCACATGCTTCTGCACTGCTTCTGTGCTAACAGAGTGAGGTAGGGGCAACAGTAACGCAACAGAGGGCAGTGTTCCAATCCACTAGACTAAGTGCACTTCAATCTTTCACTCAAAATCACACAAACAGGCACTAAAACACATTTTAACAATAAATAACAATACATATGATAAATAAATGAATTTTATTTAGTTCTGTCTTTAAATTCACATCGCCACCTTATGCTAATTATTTATTTTTATTCAATTATAAGCAATAGAATGAACTACCATCAAAATTTTAATATTTTCAGTTCACAGACACTCTAGGACACTCACTGAAAAGGTATCTGAGGTGAGGTTTTTAAGATCTATATAAGCAGAAATTGACAAATTTGCAGGCACTAAGTAAATTTTTGATCAAAAATTTGTCAAATTCATAAAAACATGAAAAGTCTGTTAGCATTTACATGTCAAAAATTAGCATATCTGAGTAGCCCAGGGTCTCCTGAAAATAACAACATATGGGACCTGTGACTGTCTCATGAAAATACTTTACAACTGTAATTGTTACTGACCAAAATACCAAAAAATTTCATGAAGGATACCTTTTCATGCCACTGCAGCAGAATTGCACTGCTATTCTCCGAGGGCTTCTCAAAGCCTTTGTAGATATACTTCATGAGGAGGTCAACACCATTCCTGTCCAGGGATTTGACAGCAGGTTCTATGTGACTGCTCTTGAATGATGTCAGTACTCTCAAAACTACCGCCTGAGCTTTTTCCTGAGAGAGAAAGAGAGAGAGAGAGAGATGTGCATATGCAGAGGCCAACATAAGGTATAATAAAAACAACAGACAAAAGGGTAACAGAGGAAATGTTACGAAGGCTGAGCAGGGTTCTTCTACTGATACAAGTTTGATATCGTAAAAATAACAGAAACCTTTTGGGTGCTATATAGAACCCTTTTCAAAAATCTACAGCACATCCTCTATCAACCTGAAGAAACTTTTCATGACACAAAGAACCATTTAGTCATGCATTTAATCATGGTTCTATAAAGGACCACTTTCTTTATGAAAAAGCCCTTGAAGAACCATCTTTTTTAAAGATTGTAGAGTCCACGTGTTGGTGGTTCGGAGCTCTTCTGGCAGCACACGGAGGATCAACAGCACATTAGGTGGGTGGGCATAATGTTTTGGCACAGGTTGTCTGGTTATTGTAGTGTGTTAGCTTCAGACATGCTATGCAAAGTACCTACCTGTCTAGCACAGGGATGTCCAGACTTATCCTGTGGCTGCAGGTTTTCAAACATTTAGGAGCACACTTCATTCCACGTATTGATTATATGCTCCTTCTTTGTTGGAATGAAAACCCCATAGCCACAACAGCCCATTTGCAGATAAGACTGAACACCCATGGTCTACCAGGTATAGAGCAAGATCGGCTTTATGCTCTTCCTCAGCTCTCTCTAGATCTTTTCCATTTGTACTTTCTCTTATTTTTTAAGAGCGCTACACAGGTCACACTGGTTTATAATTCATAACTCTGCTGTGAACAAACAAGATAACTGACAGGCAAGAAGATATGGCACCTTGTCCTGACTGGTTACATGTTGGGTGGTCCACAATGTGAGGATAATTGTGCCAATTATTACAAAAAGTGTTATTGACTTGTTATTAGAAAAAAAAGCTAAACAAACAAGAAAAAAAACCCAGATGACCCTAACTTTCATTGTAGACAATGCACAAATATACTGACACTCAGAGAACACAGTACCTTTATTGCTGGATTCTTGCTGTTGATTGGAGGATTTCTTAGTGCAACATGAAAAGCTGACATCATGTCCCCTGTACATTCAGCTGGTTAAGGAATCTCTCAACAGGGCTTAAAAACTATAAATTAGTCAGTGTAAGCAAAGGAGAAGCTAGAACAACTTATTCTTGGGGAATTTTGACAATTGTTGACAAATGTTATTCAATATAGAAGGATTTTATACTTTGAAAATCCTTACCCAGACATAAAACATAATTTACAATGGACAGATGGGTAATAAGTAAAAAAAACACATATCTGATTAAGAATCAGCAACATTACTATCAGATCATTTTCTGGAAATGACCTAGATACAGAAATAGAGGATGTCTATATAGAGGCAAAATAGAAAGAGAAAGGCATCCAACTTTTCAGCACATCCTTGTCTCCCATAATATTCCAAACTTAATTTCCCTCGGCTTCCCCTTTTTTTAATTATGTTCTAAGAATTTCTAAAGCTTACTCAGCCCTTCCTTGCTCTACAAAAGTATGATTTCAGTGATTTCATCTTCAGCATGTTCAAATGACCCTGGCTTGCACACCATTGTGCTGAATATAACTCAGGAAAGTTTACATTATAAGAGATCATTGGTACTTTTCAAAACTGATTGGTCCAGACACTCTCAGGCAGACGCATTTGTAGTTCTATGGACGAAGAGAGAAGTAATCTTCTATTGCTATTTTCAGCCTCTAGATAAAGTTTTTTCGAGCTGATGGTTTATGGGTGTCAAGTTTTAAACACACTAATTTCATTATCACACTCTTTACAGCACTACTGTCAATTACTGCATTAAACTCCCAAAATAGCACCTCTCAGACACAAAAAAAGGAATAAAACATAGCACCCTTGAGGACTTTTCACAGAGTGCAAAAAATTACAAACAGATAGGTGGGGGCATTAGGCCATGAAATTCTCCAAGAAAAGGACATACAAATATTGTATCTATAATAATCCTACTGTAATAGAATAAAATAATGATGCTTGCAGTCCAAAAATAATGATTGCACCAGCATTGCTCTTCTGCTCAAATCAAATTTACCTGAAGTGCAGAGCACTCTGAGGAAATGCATACATGGGTAACATGGAACAAACACAAATTCAACTGAGATCAGTTAAGATATCTAAGAGATCAGAGTCCCAACAAAGGAAAAGTAAAGTTTTTACTTAAGTAGCATAACTGTTAAAGTGACAGTTCAGCCCTTTCCACAAATGTTGTCTGCAGGATTCTACAGTGTGAGCAAAATACTTGCATTTGCTCCTAATTTAAAAAAAATGCAAACAGAATTTTGATTTAGGAGCACAAGTGAAGATTTTATCCAAGTAGCCTACCACTTCATTATTCTTATTCATTATGTGTGAACACAAATGTGTGTATTTTTCCCAATGCAGCATGCCACTGGCCTCGAATGCTACTATTTTAACTATTTATAACTGCTGGTTTACTATAAGACCAAGTTTTTTGACTTTGCTATGGTCTAACATTCAGCAGTGAATGTACAAATCTCAATTGCAAAAAAGTTAGGACAGTTTGTAAAATACAAATATAAACAACAAACGGAGAGCTGTAACTCCACTTTCACCTGTATTTAAAAACCAAAAAAAACTAGTACAAATATAAGACTTATAAGTAAACAGTACTGTAACAGTACTGTGCACAGTGGAAGCCATGTACCACCAAAATCTTCAAGCACCACTGACTTCTCTCGGCTCAAGCTCATCTGATATGGACTTATGCACAGTGGAAACGAGTATTGTGATCCGAAGAGTCACCCTTTCAGACTGCTCATCTCAGTCATGTTCTCTGAGCCAAAGAAGCAAAGGACCATCCAGACTGTTACCATCTTGACTTCTGGATGATGTCTTTTTCAAGGACATCTATGCTTACTTTAAGATCACAATGCCAAGCCACACTCTGTATGTGTTACTACAGCATGGCCGCATAATCAGAGAGTGCAGATGATAGACTGGTCTGCTTGCAGTCCAGACCTGCCTCCCACTGAAAAAAATGTGGCACACAACGTACACAAAATACAGGCCCAGTTGCACAGATGATGACTTTATACCTACTTCAGTTTAGTTATTGTGTTCAGTAGCAAATATTTAGCCTTTTGTTGTGAGGACTTGTATTTTGATGGGCAGGGCTTCATGCTGAGGTAAACATTGTGAGACTAGCAGTAAAAAGAGTAGCCTAGGCAGCTTCCACACAATCAAGCTACTTCAACACTGTGACGCCTGTATGATTGGGGTTGTTGTTATTGAATCATCCATCTTCTTGGCCAATAAGATTAAATTTGCCTATATGTCTAGGTAAACTACACAATCACCAAAAGTATTCACCCACCCATGCAAATCATTGAATTCAGGTGTGCCATCACTTCCATGGCCACAGGTGTATAAAACCAAGCACCTAGGCATGCAGACTGCTTCTATAACCATTTGTGAAACAATTCGTCGCTCTCAGGAGCTCAGTGAATTCCAGCGTGGTACTGTGATAGGATGCCACCTGCGCAACAAGTCCAATTGTGAAATTTCCTCGCTACTAAATATTCCACAGTCAACTATCAGTGGTATTGTAACAAAGTGAAAGCGACTGGGAACGACAGCAACTCATGTAAAGAGCGGGGTCAGCGGATGCTGAGGCGCATAGTGCGCAGGGGTCGCCAACTTTCTAAGTCAATCGCTACAGACCTCCAAACTTCATGTGGCCTTCAGATTAGCTCAAGAACAGTGCCTAGAGAGCTTCATGGAATGGGTTTCCATGGCCGAGCAGCTGCATCCAAGCCTTACATCACCAAGCGCAATGCAAAGTGTCGAATGAAGTGGTGTAAAGCACGCCGCCACTGGACTCTAGAGCAGTGGAGACGTTCTCTGGAGTGACGAATCACGCATTTCCATCTGACAATCCGATGGACGAGTCTGGGCTTGGCGGTTGACAGGAGAACAGTCTGACTGCATTGTGCCAAGTGTAAAGTTTGATGGAGGGGGGATTACGGTGTGGGGTTGTTTTTTTAGGAGTTGGGCTCGGCCCCTTAGTTCCAGTGAAAGGAACTCTTAATGCTTCAGCATACCACAATTTCATGCTCCCAACTTTGTGGGAACAGTTTGGGGATGGCCCCTCCCTGTTCCAACATGACTGCGCACCAGTGCACAAAGCAAGGTCCATAAAGACATGGATGAGCAAGTTTGGTGTGAAAGAACTTGACTGGCCTGCACAGAGTCCTGACCTCAACTAGAACACCTTTGGGATGAATTAGAGAGGAGACTGCGAGCCAGGCCTTCTCGTCCAACATCAGTGTCTGACCTCAAAAATGCGCTTCTGGAAGAATGGTCAAAAATTCCCATAAACACACTCCTAAACCTTGTGGAAAGCCTTCCCAGAAGAGTTGAAGCTGTTATAACTGCAAATGGTGGGCCGACATCATATTAAGCCCTATGGATTAAGAATGGGATGTCACTCAAGTTCATATGCGTGTGAAGGCAGACGAGCGCATACTTTTGGCAATATAGTGTATCTTTGATGACGTGCAATTCCTTAGCAGCCCTATATCATAATGCTCCCACTACCGTACATTACTGTGGTAATGGTGTTCTTGGAATCACACGTGCAACCCACCTTTATCCAAACATGACAAGCTGAATTATTGCGAAAGAGATCTATTTTTGTTTTGTCTAACCAGAGTACTTTGTTCCAAAGAATGTCTGAGTTGTCTAAATGCTTGTGTGCAAATTTTAGACATCTGTTCTTCTCTTTTTTTCATGGGGCATAGGGACAGAGAAATTGAGGTGACTGCTGTGCAGATCACTTCAATTTGTTCTCAGCGCAAGTGTTGTTCCTGCTGCATTCAAGTCATCCTGGAAATCTTTTCTTTTCAAGTGACTTGTACCTCCTTTGTCATCTCCTCGTTGTGAGATCTTGTATGTGCATCTCCTGTTCCATGAACTTTATACTCAGTGTGAGGGGGGTCAACTTTTTCTCCAGGGTGTAAAGGGAACCAGATGCAGCCCAGGCACATGCTTCAGTGAACTGAAGTCTTACAATCCTTATAGTATCTTGCTTGTTTAACGTAATGTCTGCAGTCTGTAGATGATAATAAATCCATTACACCAGCTCATGGGGCATGTAGCACACAACAGCTTTTGTAGTCAGGGGTCACCAACAAAGTATTCTAGAGCAAAACTGCCAGCAAATCACACACACACACAAACACCCTCAACAACAGCAGAACATCATTTACAAAGACCAAAGATGCTATCCATGTGCAAAAATGTAGGCAGATGTGTTGCTAGCATACAGCATCTAAGGTATTTTCTATAAGAACCATGTTTTTCACTTCTGACATAATGAAAAAGATCACTGTAGCTTAGGCTTTTGAGCTTTCTTTACTATCAGTAGCCAACATTTTATTAAATGTCCTAGCATATTAGTTGAGAACAGTGAGGTATCATTGTTGTGCATCCCATCAGTTTCTGAAAGTACTATTTGCCTAAATATGAGGTATGATGGCATATACCTTTATGTGCCGTCTCCTTCATAACTCACCATTTTGCTAGTAGGTCCTACCTGCTCATTGTTTTCCTGACATCCTCCTGCATGCTGACTGTTATTCCAACCTCTCTCTGCTTCCTTCATACAAAGCACATAAATGCAAAACTCACCATCACCCATCCTATCCAGCTCAGTATTACGCCTGCATGATTACATCAAATAATACAGGCCGCATTATCCTCTCTATGTCCTAATTCTTGTTTCAACTTATTCTTTATTTTTAACACGCTCATGTTAACTGTGAATAAAATCTAATATGAGCTCAAGAAATTAGTCATACATTTGAACTAATGCAATTACCCAGCCTTTAGCACACGTTGATTTTTATATTGTTCCAACTACCCACTGGAACAATATCATTGTGGAATACCTAGGAAATAAGAAATGACTTGTTGCAATGGTGGCATCCTATAACACTACCACTCTCAAAGTCAGTGAGCTCTTTAGAATGACCTGTTCTTCCACAAATGTTTGTAAAGGCAAAGTTCAT